GCCTCATCTTTCTCCCGCGGAGCAGCTGGTAGTTTCGAACTGCTGACCTTATGGTTCGCAGCCCGATTCATAACCACTACGCTACCAGAGCTCCTTAATTAGTAGCATAGCTGATGTTAATGTTTTGATAGGGAATGAAAGTGAGCACAGGGTATTCTTGTGATGTGCTCACATATGCGCCACAATGTCTGTTTCTATTCTGCGCTCTAAGAAAATACTTAAACATCATATGCTTAGAGATGTCCCACTTGAAGTAAACTGCGTGTATAAAAGTCCATATTTACATAAAGACAAATTATTGTTAAGTGCAGTTGAGTTGTTTCATAATGACCCTGTATAGGGTTCCCAAGGGGAAGCTGGTGGGTTTGAACTGCTGACCTTTCTGTTAGCAACCCAGGGGCACACCAGGACTCCATAAAACACAATTACGAGCTAATTATTTACTTCGTAAGTTAACTAAGAATTCATTGTGAATTCTTTGAAATGGCAAGCCACTCTATATCATTTATTACCATTCAATTTATACACTACTTTTCAGGAATACAGCACATATATTTTAGAAAACAAAACACACATATGCTTAAAACGTCACATCAGCTTTAAGTCAGTGAAGTGTAACGACTGTCTTTAGGACCACACTCCCAGAGCCCTATGACAGAGATCACCGACTCTACTAGTTAATCTAAAATCTAAAAAGTTTCTTTCTCTCCGGCGCCCAGCCACCAAATCTTTTCTATGGACCAATTAAGAAAGCAGGGATGTAACATGAAAAATTTCGGTCAGATTTTGAAATCCTTTTGACGGTTTAAAGTCTGGAACCTGCATTCCAGAAAATCCATCTCCGGAGACTTTTAAGAGCAAGACCTCCTCCTATTGGGGTAGTTTGGCCACATTCGATCGGGACAGTTGTTCCGCTTCGAGTCGCCGGATTCTAAGACTCAGCTCAAGTGAAGACGGACGAGAAGGGCAAGCCTCCCAACGACCCTCCCGGTGTGACTGTGGGAGGCCTGGTCTCCTAGCGGCTAGGGCTCCCCACTTTGTGGTCCTGCCACCCCCGCCCGGCTTGCCCGGCACCTCGTCTCCTCCATACTCACTGAGGACTGCCGCCCGCTGATTCGGCCGCCGCCTCCATCCCCTCCATCCCTCGGAGAGGCGAGACCCTCCTCTAGCCCCGTCTCCCTCCCAGGCCCGCTTCAGGGTGCGCGGCGGGACTTCCAGAGTCGAATCCCGAGCAGACGGGCTCCGGCCAGGGTCTTCGCAGGCCTCGCCCCTTCGGGCCCGGGCAGGGCCGAGTCCAGGACACAGCCCCGGGACTCTGGGTGGGTCCGGCCAGAGCAAGCGCCCCGCGGGCCGCGGCCTCCCTCCCAGTATGGGCGGGGGAGGGCGCTGGCGGAGAAGGAAGTGGCATCGGCTGCTAGTTCATGGCTTTGCCCTAACGAGAAACGGGCCGGGAGAGAAGAAGGGGATCCGGAGAGAGCAGAAAAGAGGGGGGAGAGCGGAAGGGGTTGGGGAAGCGGGACTTCTGCCTCCCTTCGCCCCCGGCCCTTATGGCCCCTCAACCCTGGCTGTTGCCCACTGGTCGCCAGACCATCCAGGCCAGACAGCCAAGTGAGGCTGCTTCTCTCAGCGCCGGGGGCGGCAAGGGAACGAGTCCCTCAAAGACGTCAAAGGGGCGGGTTAACCGCGAGGACCGCGGGCCGCTAGCCTCCGGAGCCCACCGGCCCGGCCCTGTGCCCCGGACGTACCCCGGAGACTCCGACGCTCAGAATCTAGGGCCGCCTTCGCGGGCAGCCGGGCGAGCCCCTTCCCGACAGGACTGCGCACTCAAAAGCGAAGACAACGGCTCCAAAGCCAAGGGGTCGGGTTACCCCGGGTGCCTTCCGCGAGCACAGGGTAAGAGCGTAGTCGCAGGACGTGCGACTCCTCTGGGGTAAATGCTAAGAAAACACCACGTTCTAGCCGAGCTTCGGAGGGCGGCTTGTAACCCTACACCCAGGGCTTTTTTCAGGGGAGAAGGCTCGGCTATGGGGGGGGTGGAAGCTAAGGAATGCCCTTTGTTTAGACAACTTTTCCCAAGGAGTTGGTTTGCCCACTCCAGGCGAGCGCAGTCCCCATTACCCGCAGAGAGCTGTTTCCTCCGGAGGTCAAGGTCATTTTACTGACGTTTCCTAGAGGCGCGAGGGCCAGACCGCTAAAGGGACAACCTGGTGTCCGCATTGCCTCGCGTAGGGACCAGTTCTCAGGGCCCTGAGGACTCCTGAACAGACGTGGGTCCTTTTTGGAGGGAGGAAGCAGCAGCAAAAGACTTTACCTGCAGCCGTGGCCCAAGCCAATGGAACTCTCTTTCTCCTTCCACCCAGAGGGAGGTGGCGGAAAGTCATCTATTTCCAAATCTCTTTTTCCACATAAGACAGGAAGCAATACGAGAGTTAGGACTCTGGAGATTCCGGAAATCTCTACAGACGGGAAAGCGTTTATTGGGCTTTCCTTCAGCCAACAAGCTTCGTTTTCCAGCACTGGATGCCCCTTTACTTGTCCTTGTGCACAATAGTCACTACCTAGTGACAGGCACACCAACGGTAAGGATACACAATGTGCGAAGTGCCCGAGCAGGGGCTGGAGGGAAGGAGTGCTTGCGGACATTGCACTTGGTGAGTTGGAGTTACCCTGTGCGCTGAGGATATCTGGGCAGGGCAGAAGCTCCCAGGCCTGAGAATGGCTTTGGGAAGAACCTGAGAGATTGTCCAGGAGGAATACTCTATGTTACAATCCAAAGGGCACACATCTCTGGTGACAGGTGAGTTTCCAGGCTGGGGCCAGGGCAGAGCAAGCAGATAACAAGGGTGTTAGCACTAGGATCACTAACATCATAGTTATGGGTACTATTTATGGAAGTGCTTATGGACTAAGGACTTGGCATGTTTTATCTCATGCTGCAACCTTAGGAGACGAATATTATGAGGGAGGCTTAAAAATGTTCGTGGATCAACAGATGGTGCTGGCAGAACTGGAAAGCGATATGCAAAATATTGAAACAAGACCTTCACCTCACACCTCATACAAAAACCAATTCAACATGGATTAAAGACCTAAATGTGAATCCCAGAATTATGAAGACCATCAATGAAAAAATAAGGACAAATGTGAGGGCACAGACTGCCAAACATTTTGAAAACTACACAAACAAAAGTAGACAAAATAGATGACTGGGGCACACTAAAAATTAAAAATTTATGTGCATCAAAAGACTTCACCAGAAGAGTAAAAAGGGAGCCCAAAGAATGGGAAAAAATCTTTTGCAATGACACATCAGACAAGGGACTCATTTCTAAAATATATTGGAAACTACAACACCTCTACAAAAAAAATACAAATAACCCAATTAAAAAATGGGCACAGGACATGAACAGACACTTCACCAAGGAGGAGTTCCTGGCAGCCAACAAACATATGAAGAAATGTTCACGATCACTAGCCATTAGAGAGATGCAGATCAAAACAACAATGAGATATCATCTCATACCAGCAATAACAGCAAAGATCAAAAAAGTAGAGGACAATAAATGCTGGTGGGGATTTGGAGAGACTGTGACATTCCTGCATTGCTGGTGGGATTGCAAAATGGTCCAACCTCTCTGGAAAGCAATATGGTGCTTCCTCAGAAGGTTGGAAATAGAAATACCTTATGATATAGCAATTCCTCTACTTGGTATTTACCCACAAGAATTACAAGCCATAACACAAGTAAATATATGCACACCAATGTTCATAGCAGCACCATATATATAGCAAAAAGATGGAGACAGTCTAAGTGCCCATCAACGGAATAATGGATAAACAAACTGTGGTACATACACACAATGGAATATTATGCTACCTTGAAGAATAACAAGGAAGCTGTAAGCCACTGCATAACATGAATGAACCTTGAGGACACTATGTTGAGTGAAATTAGTCAGTATAAAAGGAGACATACTGCATAGGACCACTACTATTAAAGACTAAGAAAAATAACCTATACTAAAGAGGGCAGGATTCTTAGCTAGTTACAGGGATGTGGGGTTTTGGGTGAGGGGAGGGAGGGGGAAGGTGGAGCACAGGGTAGGTAATATACACAGGATAGTTTAGGTGCTAGGGAGGGGGGCAATACACAAGAAATGGAAGAACAAAGCGGACAGGGAAAGCAATTAGGCAGGTTTGCATGGGCTAAGTGGGGGTAGAGGTAAATAATTATGTATACACAATCTTGGAATAACAGGGCTCTGGGATACAGAGATTGAGACATAGTTGGAATGGGCAAAAGGTGGGGAATAATGTTAAGATGCTTGGCTGTCTTTTGAATCTTGGTTTTCCTTGCATTATATTATAAAATAGACACTTGAGGGGGAGAGAAAGGAAGAGCCAGAAATATCACCATAGAAAGCTTGTAAGTCTGTCTTCTGCCTATAACTGATTGCAATACCTAAAATGGGGCTACAACATGCCCAGTGAAGGAAGCTTCTTGCGGAGCCTCTGCATTTGACCATAGGTGGAATCCTGAACCTTACCAAAATCTTCTGAGGTGGGAAATTTCCACTTGAAAGGATAAGCAGACCAGCCTGGAGTGGCTAGAAGAACAGAAAATACTTCCTGAAAGAAAGACCAACAGGAAAAATACAAAACAATAATGGCAGTCTGACCGATTACTACAAGAACAAGCAAGTTGCTCACCCAGGAGACATCAAGGCAAGTGGTAGGGTCCCCTCAGGGCAAAACCCCTGCCAAGACTAAGACTCAATGGGAATACACGCTCTCACTGGTGACCACATTCTTCACTGATAAGGGGAAGCCAGGAAAAAAACAGCAATGAAGCTGCGAGCTAAGCCCTACAACGTTCAATAGACTCCTGTGAACCCAGGTGGAGACCTGGTTGGCCAGCAGTATGGCAAGACCTGGGGACACTTGGGCCCAGAGTCAGTGACATGGCCACAGAGGACTAGAGCTGAGAGTGAAGCATCCAGCTGATAAGAAGAGAAGGCATATGCATAAGAACACCCACACTTGCAGATAATACCCACTTGACCTGGCTTCAATGACCAGATGATCAGAGCTCAACTAGAAGAAAAAAGAAGAGGAAAAAAAGAGTCATTTGATACAATTTGATGAACTTGACCTACACCTATGGATGCAGTAGCTCAAAAGAGGGAACAAATCTTTTCAACAAGGACCATTCCCACCTCCTCCATACACAGAGTAGACAGGGATGGGCAACTTGGATATTGGCTACCCAAAATGGGGGATGGCTACAGAGGCAAGAAGTTACTGTCTTACAAGCTTTCAAGAGGGAACCTAGATCCAGAGGACGTGAAGGAAGGTAGACTCTCCACTGAGTAGTATCCAATCTGTCTGGGCGGGCCTGATGAAAGGAGATGCGGATAGGTATCTTGTAATACAAGAGTAAATAATTGTCCTGCCCACCATGTAAATCAACTGTCTAGGGATATTAGTCTCGCTCATATGATCCAAGAGTAAATAGACAAAGGTTTACAAAACAGACTAAATGCTTTAGAGAAAGGAAGATCGCTTAAGGGAAATAAGACCCAATATATCCAGATTACACTCCTAACTAAAGTTATTCATGGTATAAATAGATTTGTGTTATCTTTCAGTAATCCAGAACTTGATTGGAATTTAATCCAACAGCATTTTAGGAGGTTGTGGAACAATATACACTTGTCTGTGGATATTTTTCAGCTACATGCTCAAATTTATGATATAAGTAATTCTCAAAGTGAGCACTGAGTGGCTACTAATTTGCTACCCCTGCTAGAGAGTAAGATCCCCTAAGAAC